GTTTGTCATAGAACGTTAGAAAAACTTTCCCAAATACATTATATTTTCCCACACCCCTGAAAGATTAATTTGGGATTATCTTTTGCTGCTACTCTGGCACACTTATATAAGAAAAACAACCAGATTAGGGAAGAGCCCTGCAGTTACCTCAGAAAGTGAGTGATGGGACACTTTTGAATGTGCTGGTCATTACTCCTTTCAGAAGGCCATTTCCAACAGTGTACAGTCACCGGCTGAGAGCACAGCTGTTGCTGATCTACTTTATTGTGGCGGTTGAAACTGTGGATGTTGTTAATGCTCGGGCTACAGCTGCATTTGTGGTTAAAGCTAGGATTGCTGGATTTGGTTAAGAAGCTACTGTAACTAGTCTTCACTGTTCCTATCAACCTAAGCCAACCTTCAAAAATTTTAAACAGCTGTGTTCATACCCAATATGAAAGACATGTTACCAATACACTGCAGGAGTACAGGAATAACGTTTCCTATACATAATCTCCATTTCAGGACAACCATACTATACCCCCCTACATTAGCTATAGTTATGACGTATTTGCGTAGGCCGACCCGGAAGTAAGCTGCGCAAGGGTTCCCTCGACAAAAAAAGCAATGGGATTTATCCATAGAATTTTGGAATATTGTAAAAAATTAGATCTGTGGAAAATGAACCTGTTTGATAAATGCACGTTTTGTTCAGCCGGATAATCTCTCCACAAAAAAAAGAAGAGTATACTTCAGCGCAGGGCCGCCCATCCTAAAGGCCAATCACGCAGGCTGCATGGGGCCCCGCCTTGCGCAGGGGGCCCCGCCCAGAGGGCCTCAGCTGCTGTGCGCAATTCTCCATTCAGTTCTCCGCGCACCCCCCGCGAGAGTGAGAGGTGACAAGGGGAGCACGCCTGTAACCCGACACCGTTGCAATGAATCGACATCTGACCAATCACGGCTTTGATACGGCCACTAGTGCAGGTGAAGAGATGTCGGTGAAAATACGGTTTCAGTCCGGCGCAAAAAACAAAACATGAAGGAACTAGAGCACCACTCGAAGGTGGGTTATTGTATGAGTCAAATGTACAACTTGCGAATGTTGTATAAGTCAAATTGCCAATTGCCATATTAAAACATCAGCTGCAATTCACGACATGAAGAAGGCAGTCTCTGCATAGCATATAGGCTGATGGAGATGCAGTTATTTCCAGCATTCTTTATAAATATTGAAAACCAAGTGTAAAGTTCATTTAACGATAAAACGTGAGGCAAAAACAAGGTAATAAGAATGACTTTACAAAGCTAATGTGTAAGTGAGAACTGACTTCTAAACCGTAAATAAACACGCAAACCGTTTGAGAAAGACCGATGTCCGTGTTCACTACAACTTCGGAGTATTTTCCGCTCCTTATCTTATAGACGACCTACCTCACTCTACGACCTTTATTCCCACGTAAGCTAAAAATCGACTGAAAACAATGTTATTTCATCAAAGAATCACATGCCAGAAATTAATAGAGTTCGTAGTCGAAAAATTAAAAGGAGAACCTACAAGAAGAACTGGGAGTCTCCTTCCTCTTCGTACAGCACCAGAAAGATCCGGTACAGGAAAAGGAATTGTTTTTAATGTCCTTTGTACTTTGATAAAAATAACGTCTGTTCACACAATAATACTTTCGCGCCCCACACAAACACACAAATCCCACGGACAATCTATATTAATAAAACGAATTAAAATTACAAAAAAAAATAAATTGTCACTCGGTGTTTCTGTTAAGTCGTAAAATTAACTTACTGTCCATACTTCAAGTAGTTGTAAACTGTTATATACGAATAATAGTTTTTATTATAATTAGACAATAGTGACATTGACATTGAAGGAGCAACAGAGTGACATTATTTCAAATGGTGAAAATGTCTGTTATACTCTCTATTTATCGATCGTCAGAAAGAAGCTATACAACAATTTAAGAAACGGAAAAACTTATGTAAATTTAATCTTTCGACTGTTTTAGTATAACGAACAATTGTAAGATTTACGTACATTAGAAAAACGTACCGCTTTTTTTGGTGAGTTGAAGTGAACCGACACATCACTAAGATATAACAAATTACCTTACATAGTAGTCACAATAATACGAGTTATCAAGTAAAATAAATTTGGTTATAGAAAGAACGTAAGAAACAATGTCATACTTTTTTTAATCAGAAACAATGGACCTCGACTTCAAGTGACCGACACTCCTCAGCAAGACAGAGAGTGAGAGACCAGGTCGGACAGACGGGTAGTGGCCTGTGGAATTGTCTTTGTCTAATATGTACATACATTTCATGGTACTACGATGTCTGTTCATATCTGACTAAGAGAAAGACAACGTTGTCACAACCTAACCATACGGAGCTAGTCCAGGAAAAATCAAATGACATTGAAAACCTTCAACCACAATGGTTACCGATATGAAAATAAACTATGGTAAAACGCATTACGTTCAAGTATTTTTGTTCGGTCCAAACCCAAGCAAGAGGAGTCTACCCGGACACTTCAATGCACATTACGACTTATTCCTTGAGGTCGAGTATGGTTGGTATAACATTATAGATTCATTAGTAAGACTTTATACTTTATTATTAACATTATTACGGTCTACGTAACGCTACGTCTCGAAGTTATGAATGATAATAATAAAAGAATAGATATTAGATTAGCTATCTAAATACTAGATTCTAAATACTGCTATATAAATACTAAATCGTATTCAGCAAGTAAAACTAACCAAGAGTGAAAGTCACCTATCACTACTGTAAGCACGCTTTAGTAATTGCTATAAAAAGTTCTTACTCAATTGTTACTATTTGAACCCCTCCACCGTTTCCTAGTCTGACGTACTGGGCGTGGTAGTTTCAATGAAGTAGGTTTTCGCCTGTCCTCCTACGCCTGAAAACACAAAATCTATAAACTAGTAGTTTCCATCCCGGATTTCAGTAAAAAGTTAAACCGTTAACAATCGAACCGGGACCACCACGGACGAGCCTACTATAATCCACAAATACTATTTAACCAACAAAAAAACACACGCATACTCCGAAGCGAAGTACCTACGCAGACGGTGGGGGCCGCAGCGACCCAAAAACTCATAAAGGCGACTTCGTCCCCGGCGGGCGACCGGTTGAACCCCGGGTTCGCGTTTGTACACTTTACGTCTGGGGGAAAGATAGTCAAAAAGAGAACACAACACCCAACTACGTACCTAACCTACTGACAGATCCTCAATTCCCCTTTCCGACTCATTAGTGGTATTTTACGACGTTTAACTGTATTTTACTTATTTTCGCGCCTTTTTATACCGAGGTACAAAAAAATCCGACATTTGCAAAATTGACGGAATAGCGTTCGGTTTGAATTGTCTGTCAAATAGGAGAAGGAGACAATGTAATCGTCCTATTTTCCGTATTTGTCTGAAACTTA